TTTTTTTTTTTTTTTTTTTTTTTGGTCTCGAATACAGACCTGAATTCAACCTCCAGATGAGTAAAATAGTCCTAGCAAAATGCTATCATTCAGAATTGCAGTTTTTACTTTTTCCCAAAAAAAAAAAAAAAAAAAACTAGAATTCTGAATTACCTCGGGCTCGTCAGTTCAATGACCATATCGAAATGACCGCCAACAATCCACTAGCTCAGTCCTGCCTATCACCCATAGGCGCAGTCCATGAAAGAAGGGGGAAATCATCATCATCATCATCGTTGTCATCATCATCATCATCATCGTTGTCATCATCATCATCATCATCATCGTTGTCATCATCATCATCGTTGTCATCGATGATAGAAACAACAGGATCAGTCAAAGACTCAAGAGTCAAAACCGACCATAAAAAAAAAAAAAAAAAAAAAACCGACCATACGCTCAACATGTAGCCAGGACAAGAAGCGGCAACCATGCGAAAGAAAGGTAATCTCGAAACTCAATTAATTAAAGAAAAAGCATTAAAGCTCAAGTTCCATAGCTTTGGCTATGGCTCCTCCGTCTTCACCATCGTCATCATCGTCGTCGTCTTCATCATCATCATCATCATGCATTATATGAGGGGGTTGGGGGGGGGAGGGGGGTCCCGTTTATTCATTCCATGATGATGATGAATTATCATGGGTCTTTTTTTTTCGAAGGGTGCCCCGGGCCATGGGCGGGACCACAACTGGGTGTCAAACAAATGCCCGGGGAAACTTAAAAAAGTTAAAATATAAAGTGAATACACTGTTTATCTAGGCTACCCGGCCGGGCCAAAAACAAAAAAATAAAAATAAAAATAAAAGAAATATTTTTTAATTTTATTTTTTATTCTGAATTTGATGAAGAATTTCGATGTGACCCTGAGGCAAAAGTTGTTCAGTTTATTTTGCTGCATAACATACTTTATTTTCGGATTTGCTGGATTTTTTTTTATTTTTTTTTGCTGGGACCTTCCCTGGTCCTTGCACGGACTGGCCACCCGGGCGGCCCGGCTGGTAGCCTAGTTGTTTAGTCTTTTTAAATTTTTTTTTATTTAAAAAAAAAAAAAAAAAAATGGTGCCCTATAATGGGACACTGAAGACGAACTGTAAAAAAAAAAAAAAAAAAAAAAGGCGGCACAAAAAGAAAAGAGATCGATGGCATCATTAAAAAAAAAGGGTAAAGTTCAAAATTCAAAATATGACTATGTTCCTATTTCAACTCCCTCGCCCTCCCCCCCTCTCCCTTTTGTTTTTCCGCAGATGCCCCTCGAAAACTCTATGCCCCTGCTGTGCGGGCGTCCATTTCACTTAAGGCCTTAACATCATGGGTGGCCTCTGAGCCTCTACTCAACTTCAACCGCCTACTGTACCCTTCCCAGGCCCAATTTGGCCAGCTGCATCACATCAAATTCAAACCCACCACCTCCATCCCATATTAAAAGAAAAAAAAAAGAAAAAAACACACACACACACACACAGCTGTCTAAATGTTTTTTTTCTTCTAATTAAACAATAATAAATAAAAAAGGCCACAGCTGCATGAACAATCATCCACTCATGCAGGCATCCGTCTCTCTCTCTCTCTCTCTCTCTCTCCATATATGACGATATATATACGATATATATAAAAAGATATGTTGATCTGTGGGATGTGTTATTTGCTTTGTGACAATTGGATTATCTTTCCGTCTCTCTCTCTCTCTCTCTCTCTCTCTCTCTCTCTCCATATATATATATATATATATATATATATATTTCTCTCTATATCTCTCGATCTCGCCACCCAACGCTCTACCTGTCATCCACTTTGCTGGCCTTTCACGTAATATGTGATGAATAGGTGGGGTTTTCCTTACTTATTTTCCTTTCCTTATTTTGCTTTTTTTTGTTGTTGCGCTCTGATTCAGTGTGACAATATATATAT